GTGCTTATGTTCACCCCACTAAGCAGCCTGGGAGCTGAGGGACTCACCATTAGCCAGTGACCTAGAGTAAGTTCAGCAAGGCTGAGTGGTGATGTGAGTACAACACACGCCCTTCCCCTTCAAATCACAGCACAGCCTGGGGTCATTCCAAGTTTATCAGCACCCTGCACCCCAGGTGGTTTTCCTCTTACTCACAGTGCTGACAGTCAGGTCCTGTACTCCTGCAGTTAATCTGGACTTTGCCCTAACTTCAGAATATCATGGTGATAGCCATTAGGAGTCATGTGACCAGTTTGGACTGAGACCTTACATGTCTTACATGTCTGCCCTTGCATCGGATGATGCCACCAGCTCCAGGCCCCAGTGCTGGCTCCCCAGTTAAAGACAGGCAGGCGCCAGGAACTCAGCAAAACTTGGGCCCAGACAGCCTTGGGTTCAAATCCTGCCTCTTTTGCTCACTAGCAGTATGAACCTGATCTGGTCACTAACCTTGCCCTGCCTCAGTTTCCTCACTTGTAAGATACTAGTCTCCCAGAGTGGTCATGTCATGTGGTGGAAATGGGATTGTAGGTCAACACTTTGCCTCTCTGTTCCTCTCTACATGCCCCTCTTCCATCTACCCAGGCTGCCATCTGTCCCTGCATGTTCCTGAGCTCCTAGTTACACAGCTGAGACCACCCCCTACTGCCCTTTCCCCTCTTTCTTCCCTTCCATCTCTGAGAGTGACATGGGGGGTATCCCAGGCTCCTCTAAGAATCCCCCAAGGCCATGGTCCATCTCCCTGAAAGAATGTGCACCCACACATGGGATTTGTCTATCACTCAGGATTCATGGGCCTTGTGAAACATATCTCAAGGCCCCCTCACCTCACTGCCCAGCTGCATCCTCAGGGACAGGTGGCCAACACTATTCCCTTGATATCCTCTGAAGTCATGTGTTGGCAGGTTGGGGCCACTGCCAGAGGAATCTTCCCCTAGCACCAGGGAGCCAGCCACACCTGCGGGATTTTAGCTCCCGCCTTTCGAGCCTCCCAAGTGGCTTAGCTTTCTGTGCCCTGCCAGCACTTTGGAGAAGAAAGCAGCTCTTTTTCTGGGAACAGTGCATGGTCGATGCAGCCAGCCCTCCAGCCTGGCACCCCGCCTACTCCATACACGCCCTTACCCAGAAAGGGGAGCGCAAGTTATAGTGATAAAGAGTCCTCATCACTTTCAGTGCTCAGCTAGGTGGCATTATTTTATTGAAGTCTTTTCCCAGGAAGGGCACAGGCCTCCTCACCTGAATTCCTGTAAAATGGACACAACCCCTCTGTCTCCCACAGAGGGCCTGTGGATTAGAGGCTAAACCATGGCAGGCATGGTCCTTGGAGGCATATTTTCTGTAGAAATGATCGTCTCTATTGTACTTCACCCTGAATAGTACTTTATAGAAGTTAGTGTCCGGTGGTATCTCTTAAGGTTGGTGTGGGCTGCTTGAACACAATAACTGCTTTGGTTTAGCATGCATGTGAGTTGTCCAGTCAGCCTGCAGGTCATTTTGAGCTCTCATTGGATGCTAAAGCTTTTGGGGGACCCACCCTTTGGGGCTCCACCCCATGGTAGGGAGCTGAGCCTGGCCTGGAGGCACAGACATGGAAGATCTGACAGCACACACAATGGAAGGCTTCAGAGAGAGGCCAGAGGCTGGGCCCTCCAGAGGGGAGGCAGACTGTGGCCGGTTAGACGGCAGTTGGGAGAGCCCGTGGAGAGGGCCCTCTTGTTGGAGGTCATGCTTGGGCAACGGCTTGGAATCAGGAGACAGCCTGGCTGGTTCTGGGTGGCCACACCCACACCCTTTGGTTGGAGAAAAAAGACTGGACCAGCTGGGCCAGCTGGGTCTTGGGGACGTCAGAATGCCCCCCTTCCTAGCGTCTGGCCGTGAGCAGATTCCTTTAACTCCCTGGGCCTCAGTTTCCTCATCTGAACTGGGGGCCAGTAATACCTTCTGTCCGAGGCCATGAGGAAGACTGAGAGGCGTGTGTGTGTATAAAGTTGCTGGCACCATGCTTGCCGCCAGCGGGAACACGGTGGGTGAATCTACTTATAGTCAGAGGTCGGACTGTACCCTGGGCTGCAGGCCAAAGTCAGATACCCCTGACCCCATGTCAGGGTTTGCCTCCCTCTAGAGCCCTGGAGAAGGAGGCGGGGAGGAGGAAAGGGAGGGAGAAAGAGGAGGACAGGGGAGAGAGGGAGGGGGCGGGGGAGGAGGGCTCAGCAGGGACTCAGGCTGGTGACCCCTACTTGCTTGTTTGGCAGCCACACCAGCCTGTGGGGCTTGGCATCTGAAATCTACATGATCCAAGAGCAGCCCAGGGTTTCCATTTAAATCTTCCTCAGCAGCACTGCTGCCCCAGCAACCTTTAGGTGGGAGGACTGGGGCAGGCCCGACAGGTACACGGTGCTAACCCTCTGTCCCCAGAATCTCTGGCTGGCTCCCTCTCCCTCTCCCTCTCCC